CTTAAATACTTCTAAATCCTTGTAAAAATAAATTAATTTGAGGTTGTTCATTTTTATAGTATCTATGTAAATAGTACACAAGGGTCAGATTCGGTCTGTACAATTTCAACTACAATTTGTCGCAGGTTGCCTATACATATATGTGACGTCACACTAAAAGATAACAAGGACGTATCGAGTGCCATTCGCTACTTTTTCAGACGATAATTAACTAGAATAACACATTTCATTCAAATAAATACAAGGAAAGAAATTCAGCAAACACAATCGTTAAATAAAAATCAATAACAAAATTTTCTTTTTCCTTCCTTACCTATATGTTTCCTAAATCCCTAATAAATAATCAACAAAAGGTAGATTCNATGGGGCCCACCTACGAAGGCTGTCCAGGCCTACACGAGATGAGGCAGGATAAAGAGGGATAATCCCCCTCGATCCCAAATCATTGAGGCCAATTTCTAGCCATAGAATAATGGCGAACTACAATTTGTCGCAGGTTGCCTATACCACACTATACATATATGTGACGTCACACTAAAAGGTAACAATAATTGAACGTATCGAGTGCCATTCGCTACTTTTTCAGACGATAATTAACTAAAACACATTTTATTCAAATAAATACAAGGAAAGAAATTCAGCAAACACAATCGTTAAATAAAAATCAATAACAAAATTTTCTTTTTCCTTATATGTTTTCTAAATCCCTAATAAATAATCAACAAAAGGTAGATTCTATATTTATATAAAAATAATACCTAGTTCTATTAAAAAATATATATTTTATGTATCTGTTGAACAATTTTATTGAGCTGTGCAGTATATTCACTCCGACGTTTATTATGTTACAAAGTAATTTTTATTGTTATGTCAATGTGTATTTTAATTAGTCTAGCGCTTTGTTTGTATTTTCTTAAATTGTTGTTTCTTTGACTTGCTACCATAATATGTTATGTATTAATGTAGACCAATAAATATTCTAAGTTCTAAGTTCTATTCGCTCGGCTGGTACAGGGATTGCAGTGTAAATAGGGTAGCTGCTGTGTACATTCAAAATTTGTCGTTTTTAAATCAGGATCAATTTTTTTTTTATAAATTATAAAAATAGAATAATGACAGTAATGACGATACTGATCGCAGAAATAGTAATAGTACAACCTTACAATAAACATTTAACACTCTCAACTTATACTATACGTTTTTTTATTGTTTATCTTAATCTGTGGTCTTCTTTAGTTGCCGCAGTTATAGAATTTTTAATTGTTTGCAATAATCCCAGTGTATCAGTAATGCATTTATTTTTTATTTTTGTAACGCCTTATCTTTCAACTCAATAATTTATAGCAATGAATCAAACATATAGGTATGCTGAAATTTTTTATTTTTTTTTTCATGAAAAAAGAAACATTATTTTCCTCTTCCATTTTTCTCTCCGGGCTTTCGTTTTCGAGATACACGGTGCCAAAACTTTAATTTTTTTTTAGTTTTTCGCCAATATCTTAGGAATCGTTTGAACTACAGTACTGAGCTTTTGTACACACATTACCACTATTAATAGCTACTTTTTCGCACCCTTCTCGAATTCATTGGACGTGCCAGTGGTGGAGATTTTAAGGTATCGTAAGGGTTTTTCCCCCCCTAAATTTTACGCCACTGGAAAAATTGACTTTTGACAGCAAATTCTAAAGCGCCAATGAATTTTACACAATAAGAGTTCTCTTGGTTCATTGCTCTAAAGTCAACCGTTTTCAAGAAAAATGACTTTTTATGAACAAAAGCAAACATTTTGCTAACGTTTCGAAAATTTTTTACATTTTGCATTTTGCATTTTGAACATTTTGCAAGTGCAAGTAACTGAACAGAACATCCGGAGAACGAAATGCATCGTTTATGAAATCCATGTCAATACTATCGAAAAGTTGACCGATAGAGGTGAAGCCGCAGCGGCAGAAAGAAACATGATTAGAAGATGTAATGCGTGCATTCAAGCCAACGGACGTAATTTTGAACAGTTTCTGTAAATTTTACTCGCCAAATTGATAAAAAAAAGTTAAAATCCTATCTGTTGTTAAATTTCGTTAAAATTGTTAATTATTACTACCTATTTTTTGAATTACAAAAGATTTTCGAAACGTTAGCAAAATGTTTGCTTTTGTTCATAAAAAGTCATTTTTCTTGAAAACGGTTGACTTTAGAGCAATGAACCAAGAGAACTCTTATTGTGTAAAATTCATTGGCGCTTTAGAATTTGCTGTCAAAAGTCAATTTTTCCAGTGGCGTAAAATTTAGGGGGGGAAAAACCCTTACGATACCTTAAAATCTCCACCACTGGCACGTCCAATGAATTCGAGAAGGGTGCGAAAAAGTAGCTATTAATAGTGGTAATGTGTGTACAAAAGCTCAGTCCCGTAGTTCAAACGATTCCTAAGATATTGGCGAAAAACTAAAAAAAAATTAAAGTTTTGACAGCGTGTATCTCGAAAACGAAAGCCTGGAGAGAAAAATGGAAGAGGAAAATAATGTTTCTTTTTTCAAGAGGAATTTACAGTTTTCCGTTGTGACACTTATTTAGGAACACCCTGTATAGACAGAAGTCCTTTAGACAATATTACAATGTACAGTTATGATTAGGATATTAAATAAGGCACATAATCTGATTCTAACCGAAATTTCCATTTTTCGTAAAGCATTATGAAGTTTGAATAAAAAATTAATTTCGTGATAAATCCATATGGATCATTAAAAACAATATGGATTCCACTCCTCGTTATCAAAAAATATAGGCACATTTTTACCAACAACTACTGTTTTAATGCTTTTCTAGATGGCGCATGAGACAATAACTCTACTTCCGAAATATCTTTGTGCTGCAACTGATGGCACTTAAGACTCTTCTTACACTTAGTCCCAAAACCACAAATATCACATTTATACACCGGCGCCTTTGAATTTTTCTTGTGTCTCAGTACATGGTAGGCCAGATTTTGCTTGTACCTAGTTTGAAAATCGCATTCGCTACAGGTGTACAATTGTGTCTTGGTGTGTTTTAGTTGATGAAGCCTAAGACCATTCTTTAAGTTGGTTTTATAGCTGCACATGTCGCATTTATAAACTTGTACAGATAAATTCTTGTGCCTTAACTGGTGCATCGAAATGTAATATTTATTTTTCGTTTTGAAGTCGCAAGTGTGACACTCGTACAGTCGCGCTGTTGAAATGTCTTCGTGTGTCAGTCGGTGACGAGCGAGATATCTTGCTTGCTTGGTCTGAAAGTCGCACTCTGGACATTTGTACATTTGTGCCTGGGATACATCAACGTGTATCAAATGGTGCTTCGAGAGCCGGTCCCTAGTTTTAGTTTTGAAATCACACGTGTCACATTGGTACGAGGGCACTTCTGAGATGTCTTTGTGCCTCAACATGTGGTGAACTAAATTTTTTCTTCGTTTGGTTTTGTAATCGCACGTGTGGCAGTTGAAACTGCCTACTTCAGAAATATCTTTGTGCTTCAGTTGATGAGCATTGAGACGATTCTTCCACTTTGTTTTAAAATCACAAATATTACACCTGTACAGTTGTGCTTCCGGCACATCTTTGTGCCTTAGCAGGTGGAGTGTGAGGCTGTCCTTACGTTTGGTGCTGTAATCGCAAAAATCACACGAGTACATTTGAGATTGTCCTTTGTGATTGTTCAGCTGATGACGCTTAATACTCAGTTTGTACTTGGTCTGAAAGTCACATGATTCACATTTGAACACTGGGACTTCGTCAATGTCTTTGTGAACCACTTGGTGGCGTACAAAGTGCGTTCTCCGCTTAGTTTTGTAATCACACAAATAACATTCGTACAATCGTGCACCGGAAGGGTTTTCGTGATTCCGTCGATGACGTACAAGACAGCTTTTGTTCTTGGTTTTGTAGTCGCAAACATCACATTCATACATGTGTACTTTCGAAGGCATTTTATCCTTCAACTGATGGGATTTTGGACTACCCTTGTGCCTTGGTTTGTACGATTTTGTCTGTGATGTGAGGGTTTTCGTTGTTCTTTTTCGGTCAGTTTCCGAATCACATAGGCTAGATTTATTATGATCCACCTGTATAGATTTCTGTGAAAAATTACTTTGGCTTGTGCTGTTAACAGATTCAATATCACTATGGGGAGAAGTATTACTGAAAAAAATATATGAATAATTAAATAAACCCACCACGATTCCCAATATGTTAGCATTTCGATTAGTATGATTAGAGTTCAGGGATATGCTTGTTTTAACAGGACCAGAGTCAGTCCACTGATGTAAATATGAACAAGACCGTACAAAATATGTTGCCACACAGTAGTTTGGCTGGTTGCCACATTGTCAGTTTAGATTTCTTGACATTTTGGGAGATACATCTTCTTCAGAAGGAGCTCAAACTGTAACTCTTTCTGAAACTTGTAGCCCAGTAGAATTTGCAATTTTTAATAAGTTTTTGCTTCGGCATACCTGCCTTTTTAAGATTTAGTAAAAAATGTTTGGGCTTCATTTTTTAAATTTATCATATTGATGGCTTGTACATCTATGAACAGGAACGCCCTGTGTATATTTAAATACGGAGCATGGCCAATACTTAAGTGGTTCATGCAAACAAACGTTTAAAATAAAAGTGCAGAAAAAGTCTAAGTTATTAAAAGCCATATCTCCCGAACTCTAATTATGAGAAAAAAAAAAAACGATTTCACCCCATTAACTAAACATAATTCTGATATAAAATATCCGTCACTAAGATTTTTCCACAACTAATGGTAAAATTTTAATGATTTTGAAAAATAATTTTAAACTATGTAGAATCTAAGTCCTTAAAATATGGAAAGTTCTTTGACGCTTACTTGTTTTCATCTTCATCATTTTCATCGGTTTTTATTTCAATCTCTTCAGCGATAATAAAAAACGACCTTTTTGTGTCCTTGCTATCGCAAACGTTTTTAATTTGATCTTCTACATCTATACAGTTCTTTAAAAACCTGTTGTGAGCGATCAATGAATCGAGACAGCGTTTGCATACAACCGGATCTTCAGTGGAACTAAATTTCTACAAAAGAAAAAATTATACAATCACCGCTGAACTAATGTCAAAAGACCATGCGTACAACTTCTGGAATATATTGACGGATTAGATCACAATTCACATCTTTTACCGATGTAAATCCACAGGTGATTATCTGCATACACAAACGACAAATCCTCTCGTCTTCCAATACGGCTCTTAAGTGTTCTTTATCCCTTTCCTTGACATAAATATCTCTTAAATCAACGGGTGCTGTATTTTCAGAATTAACATAAGGAAAAATAGTATCCTCAGTGTCCATACAGATTCCCTTGAATTGAAATGCTCCAAATAATTTCGTGGAACAAGTATTGCACATTACTCGATTCCCTTCTTTTACATCCTGAAATAATAATAATAATGTTTATTTACACAAATACACAGATACCAGAAGCACAAATGAAATTATACATTAAGGGGTAAATAAACAAAGGAGCTGCAAAGGCAAGCCTGTGGGCAGCTTCTCGTGTTTTATTACATATTGGGGCAAAATATAAAGCAAAGTAAAAGTGCTTGAAAGAGATGCGAGTACAATTTAAAACAAAAAAAAAACAAAATAACAAAGTTTCATAACATAGTAGGACATAGTATAGGACAAAGGTAAGTGTACGTTTATAACTAATTTTTGAGTTATTCCTTCAACTCATATTCAATTGGTAGGTTTAATTATTTTTAATATCTATATAGTTATCAATTATACTTCTATCACAATTTAGTATACATTTTTTTACTTTATTTTTAAATATATTTTTGTTTTTTAGAATCACGAACATCACATGGTAATAAATTATGGAATATAGGAGTAAGAAAGTCATAAGAACGTTGTCCAATTGTTTTTAGAGCTCGTGGAATAACGGTTACCAGCCTGCTCCTTGTAGAATAAGGATGTTTTTATAGGCGTCAATGTGTTTTTATTTTTATGTTGATGTATGACAACCTTTAAGAAGTAAGTTTGTCTTGGATCAAATACCATTGCTTCCCTATAGAATTCATCATTAGGATACTTATAGTCTTTTCCTAGTATTATCTTCAAACATATTTTTTATAAATTACCATTTTTTTCATACATGTCTTAACTACTCCACTCCATCTTAAAATTCCGTAAAACATTCTAGACTCAATTCAGGAGTAGTAAATAGATTTCATATAAGCTAAGTCAAGTATCTTTTTTACATATTTAAATTTATACAGGATGTTTTAGGACATTCCTCATAAAAAAATTAAAAAAAATTAAGTATAAATTTTTTTCCAGACGCTTCATTTTCGAATAGGGCGTTAAAGATTTTTAAAAAAATTCTAATTTTTTAAATAACTTCTAAGTGAAGAAGGCTATTTAAGCCAAATTCGGCATGACTCATTAAATTATAAAAAATGATGCTGTTTTTAGATAGAACAGTTTGTTGTTGACAAAAAGTGTACATGCACTTTTTCTCCTAACTCTTATAGTTTCATGGCAAAATCGATTTTTCGGAAGGGTGCTTCTGGATTCTGTCGATAAACTTTAGGAAGACGTTCCTCATAAAACCTAAAAAAGTATAGTACCTATTAATATTGGTCTTATTGTTAGTCTCGAGTATGTGTGAGTCAAATAAGCCTTTTTGTCTCCCCTTCCCTTGGGTTTAACCAATAGTATTCAAATTATTTAGGAGATGCTTCGTTTTTGAGATATAGGGTGTTTTTTTTTTAGAAAAAATATGATGAAAACAATAGAAATATTTAAGTACCTAACATCTAATGTGACTATGTCGTAATGCGACAACATAACGACCCTTGCAATATTTCTAAATTTTTTCAGGCGGTTTGTAGTACTTCATTTACTTGTGTTGTGTACTTTTAAATAAAATAAGATGGCAAACAATACATGAAAATTTATTTGTAAATTGAACCGACCAAGAAATTACCAGTTAATATTATACCTAGACAAAGCGAAAAGTGAATCAAAAATGAAATGATATAAAAAATATTTTGTTCAAAATGGGCAACTCCGGACTGTAGACAACCACGACATCTTCTAATTATGGAGGTAGTGGCCGATCGACACTGAATTCATGCTGAAAACTATGTTCCCTTACCGCCCGTGGATTCTCGTAGGACCAAATATGGTTGTTCCTTTGGTGTAAAATTCCCCTTCGAGTAAATGTAAGCATCTCCTAAATAATTTTAATACTACTGGTTAGCCCCAAGGGAAGGGGAGACAAAAAGGCTTATTTAATCACACATATTCGAGACTAAGACCAATTTTAATAGGTACTATATTTTTTTAGGTTTTATGAGGAACGTCTTCCTAAAGTTTATCGAGGAATCCAGAAGCCATGAAACTATAAGAGTTATAGAAAAAAAGTGAATGTACACTTTGTCAATAACAAACTGTTCTATCTAAAAACAGCATCATTTTTTATTTTCAGTAGGGCCGTATTAATTTTTTTTATAATTTAAGAGTCTTGAGTCCCCATAACTCCGTCACTGGTTGCTTGCGGGACTTCTACTTTTATGGAAAAATGGTCTTATAAGAAGATGTGTCATGCCAAATTTGGCTTAAATAGCCTTCTTCATTTAGAAGTTATTTAAAAAAATTCAAATTTTTTTAAAAATCTTTAACGCCCTATATTTCGAAAATGAAGTGTCTGGAAAAAAATTTCTACTTGATTTTTTTTCTAATTTTTTGATGAGGAATATCTCCTTAAGGTTTGTCGACTTACTCCTGAAACACCCTGTATATTAAAGTTCAAATTGTTTTTATGGTTTGATTTATGTGGAAGTTCCATCTTAAATGTTGATCAATAAGTACACCAAGATATTTTAAATTTTCACAACTATTAATATACAACATTGTCCTATTATTTACAATATAAAGTCGAGTATAATTCGGCAATCCGTTCTTGTGGGAACTAAATGGGATAAACTTTGTTTTTTCAAAGTTTATAGTTATTAGTTTATGATTAAAATAATTAATCATAGATGATATATATCTGTTTCTATTTTAGTTTTAAGAATATTCCAATCAGTGTCATAAAATATACAGGTGTCGTCGGCGAAACTTATGATCGTACCGAGTGTACTTTGAGTAAATAAATTGTTTAAATATACTGAAAACAATATTGGGCCAAGAACAGTTCCTTGGGGTGGTACTCCATATTCCACCTCTCGTCACTGAATTCATTATTAGGTTTGGTGAACTGTGTAAGTGAACTGTGTAAGACCAGGTAACTTGGAAATAGCGAATATGTAGGGCCGCGAAATCCTAACGTCTGTAGCAATTGTTTGTGACAAACAGTGTCGAAGGCCTTCGCAAGGTCAAGGAATATACACAACGACGGTTTATGATTATCAAAACTATTATAATTTTTTTATGTTAGTGCACAAATCGCATCTTCAGTGGATCTGCCCTCTCTGAATCCAAATTGGTTGGGCGACAGTAAATTATACTTTGTTAAATAATTTACCATTCTAGTTTTAATTTTCTCAAATACTTTTGCCAAATTAGTAATTAACGATATAGTTTGATAGGGTTTATCTCCATTTTTGTATAATGGTTTTATTATTGCTTTTTTGAATTCAATGGGGCAAATTCCAATCTCAAAGTACTTGTTTATTAATTCAGCCAGAGGTTCCCAAATTTCTTGACATATTTCTTTCAATGTTTTTGCTCGTAGTGTGTCGATATCTGGAAATTTATTTGTTTTTAAAGACTATAACATTAATTACTTCATACTTATTCGCAGGTGTCATGAAGAACGAGAAATCTACATTGTTAGAGACTGGAGCTGGGCTCGAGGGTTGGATTATCTGTTCAGCATATTTTTTCCCTACATTTGCATAATAATTATTGAAAGTGTTAGCTATAATTTTCTCATCATTTGAAATAGCATTATTTTCCAATTTGATTTCATTAATAAAAACTGTTTTTCGTTTTTCATTTGTAATTTCTTTACCAATATCCCATAAAGACTTTGAATTATTACCGTTTCTTTATTTTATTATTAAAATTAATAGATTTTGTTTCCTTGATTAAAATATTTAAATAATTTCGGTAATATAAATAATAATTTTTTAGAATAACGTTATTAGCTTCTCTTTTGTATTCTCTATACAACAATTCTCTTTCATTTATTGATTTAATTAGTCCCATTGTAATCCAGTCTTTACGTTTGATTTCACTTCTCTGTTTAATACTGCTTGGGCTTTTATCAATTGCATCTTTTATTACATTTGTAAAGGTTTCTGTAGCGACATTAATATCATTTTTCAAAACATTAAAATAGCTCGTCCAATTATACTCTTTCAATCTTTCTTTAAGTTTTTTATAATCCACGTATTTAATATTTGTTTTATTATTATTTTGTATAAATGGTTGCTGATTTTTGTATACAATATTTAAAATAGTTATATAATGATCTGAAATATTAGTTTTTACAACAAACGGGTTACAATTCCCACGTACACCATTTCTCATTCAAACAAAAATATGGTCAATGCAAATGAGTATGATTATGAATCAAGGGTCCTTAGTTTTGAAAAAATTATAAAGCAGTACATAAATGGTGACATGATTTTTTTTTCTCACCAGTTCCAAGAGAAGAATGTGTAGGACTTCTCTTATAGTTTCTTCTATTGCTTTGAAATTGCCATCATTTATGACATTAAGGCAAAGCCTACAGAAAATTTTCTTAATCTTCCCCATATACAGGTATATTTTACCTAGAATGATTGTTTAAACAAGCGTAAGCAAACATAACCTCCCAAGAATGTTCAAAGTTCAAGTCAGGGAGACTACACAATGAGGAGACCGAATTCATACGGGAAAATTGACAAAACTTGTTAATGGAATGGTGGAAATTAATTACATATAGCTTTTACCACTAGGGTTGCTAGTTTTCCTTTTTGCACCGAAATTAATGTAGTATGATAAATACGAACGAGTGAAGTAAGCAAAATATACTAACCTAGGAATTAAAATAAATATTGCAATTTGTTTTTAAGAATTTATTAAACAAAAAATTTCCTCCCCATTACGTAGGTGCATATGGGACACTAGCGTACTCTAATTTGGTAAGATTGTAAGATATTTAATTAGTTTAATTGGAGATTGGAATTCGTTCTCCTTGTGTAGTCTTCCTGAATTCGGCAGTTACTTTATAAGGAATGCATTGTACGCTATAGTTTCCACTATTAATGCATTTTTCTGTTTTTTTAATCATATAGTTAAAAGTTTGGAATATAAAGAGACAATATAGATGCAAATAACGTACGATTTCAATTATTGCAGCTTTCGCATATACTGTTTTTAGTGGTGATGGAAGATCTCGAGTGAAAAATCGAGTGGTACTGGATTATTCAGATCACTCGAGATATCTCGAGATGTTTACTCGATTACCGATAACTGATGGATTATCAAAATTGGTCGATTATGCACATCAGTAGTTTTTAGAGTTAGACGACTGCGAATTACAGATGTGTTGCGATTTCACTACACTATCTGCTACTTTGGCGCTGTTCCGCAGTTGCCACTACAGTCACTGATTGAGACAGTGGCTTTAGTTGTCACGGGAACTGACTGACCGCGACAAAAGAACAGTACCGAGACTCGTGAAATCTCGATGTCGTTTTATCGATATCGAGATAATTACGAAACCAATCTCGATCGATTCGACTCGAAATGTAAATTGGTACTCTTGAAGCACATCGATATAGTCCTCGGATAAGTTCGGCAAATTTGGGGTAATGTTGTATACCACCACGGTTAAGGCAACTGAGTGATATATTTATTTCTGTCTAACATATACGTATTTCAGCTATCTATCTCTTTTTGTCCGGCGGCGGCGTCACGCAGTTTATTTAAATTTTAAAATGAATACCTACCTATCATCAAATAAATAAACAGAAATTTATAAAATTATTTATTTAGTCTAAACAGTAAACCATGAAAGTTGATTTAAATGTACTTTATATTTAAAGGTTTTATGCGTACATACTCAACAAATTATTGATATTCCACATCCTAATTTTTTATTCGGTTTGAAATAAAAAACATAAAATACTACCTGTGATTATAATTATTGTTGAACAATTAGAGCGACGAGAAGCATTTAGGAATGAAAATATTTGGAGAAGACAGTTCAATGGATCCATTATAATCTTTACCGGACAAAAAATTTGTGTAATTATTTCGCTTACATAAAAATATTATATGTAATTTAATTATGTCTATTGTTTGACATTTAAAAGAAGTAAAAAGAACTTCGGAAACTATTCAATTCAACATTAAATTATTTTGTGCTTTCTGCTGGTTTTATGCACGGTGAACATCACTGGAATGAGTAGACTTTCTTGCTTCAAGTCAACAAACTATTAATAGAGGTATAAAGAAAGTCACATATAAGTTATTTATTAAAACCTCTCCAACAATTGGATAAAATTTTCACCATTATAGAAAAATATTCCGGTAAATACACACTCATGACAAGAAAAAGATTTGTAATATTATGCAGTATTTATATTTATTTAATGCATAATAAGAAACAGAAAAGGTATCATTCAAAAACTGTTCAAATAGTTGTAGATAAATAGAAACCAAGGATTTTATACAAGTCCTTGTGTATAAACAAGTATTTGACACTTCACATTGGGTTAGGTTAAATACGTAAAAATAAACAAAACACAAACGCAAACACATTTGTAATGTTGAAAAGAAACAGCAATAGTCAATACATGTGATAGAAGAAGAGGGCAAATCATTTCGGCTAGCCAAGACTCCTCGATATTATATCGATTCGAATGGGCGGGGTTTCGATATTATTTCGATGGCAAAATTTTCAAGAGTACCGATATATCGATATTATTTCGATCTCGATTCGGAATCATCGAATCGACATTTCGGGAGTCCCTGCACAGGTGATTTTTCGAAGTGTTTATAATATAAATAGAAATACAACTAGAATTCTGCTCCCGTAATCGTTGTATCCATAAACAGTTAATAAATTTATGACAAGCTAAACGAGATGGGCTAGCAGGAAGTATCTGCCCTGTTTTGGAAAATGACGTCTAACAATCCCTTGTCCCTGTAACCGAATGGCCATTCTACACAAATTTCGAATTCCCCAATAGGATTTCCTCATACAAAGAAAGCAAGAGAGTATTAGTATTTATTTTTCTACTAGGAAATAAATAAGCCCGATTTAAATTTTATACAAACTTCAAAATGAGTCTCCAATGATATTGGGTGGTTTATATTGCGTGTAAAGTGTTCTTTCAAGCTATTGTAATTTTTGTCAAGTAAGAAGTAATATACTGGGAACTGGCGCTAGAATGTAAATAAACAGACTTTATTTCCACTATACGGTCAAATGAATAAAAAATATAGATAGGCGTATTCGCTCAAGTTGCATACGACTCGCACCATTACATGCGTACCATGGAAGGCCTGTACTACCTTCGTCGTCGCTTCCCTCTGAATAATGGTCACTTATTAGACAACAGACCTGCACCACCGCAACTTGTTGGTGCTGTCTTCCTGGACGTCGCAAAGGCCTTCGATACGGTTTGGCATGAAGGCCTACTGATGAAAATGCTCACCAACCAATATCCCATATCCNTCCACCGGAATACCCCTAAGCGACGTGGCGAACGTGGGGGGGCCCTCCGGGCCCCCCCGGGTGTCGCTACGCGACACCTCGGAGGAGCAGACCCCAACACAAATCGGCTCTTTTTCGGGCCGATAGTGCGACGCAGACGGAGCTATAGGATTTTAATATACATTGATTGTTGTGAAGTAGATATTAGCCGAGTTCAGTGTTTTGTGTCTTTTTAAACTGTTTCTATTTAATTTCAATAAAAATGTCAAAGCGGTGTATAAATGCCGACAATTACAGGAAAAGAGCCAAATACGTGCTACTTCTTTTCACAAGTAAGTTTGACATTGTTTCCATGGGCGTTCTTACAAGGGTGTAAGGTGTCCTAAGTATTTTATTTGTTAATTTATTATGTTTGTATTTTGATACTGACACTAGCTCTGTGTTTATTTGTAGAATACCATAAGATCCTGCGATACGAGCAGTGTGGCTAGAAAATTTCGCCATATCTGAATATGATTTTTCAAAGGATAATTATGTCTGTCGAAGCATTTCCGTGCTACAGATATTAAGGTAACAGTAACTGGAAAACGATGTCTCACACATGGAGCTGTGCCTATTAATACAACATTTGGAAGGTAATACGTTTTAGCACAGTGTTGATGAAATGGTTGTGCCGTCTCAAAGGTTCCCTCTTCGAGAAATTGCCAGTGAAGGAAATTTTATAGATGTTGCTATAAAACATCTTCAATCACATGTTGTCCCTGTTCCATAAGAGACGAGCTGTCAATGTTGTGAGCTCAAAATTCAGCTTATTTTTGTTGCGTACATTTAAAACATGCTTATTTTCCCATACGATTAAATGTTGTTCAATGTAAATTCATTTTTCCGTTACTTTTAGTACAAATATGTTTTGTTTTCTTTGCATTGTTTATATTCCAGCAGATTTTAATTAAATATATTTTTGCTCCTTTTCTTGTAGTTTTATTTAAATTATTTATTTTAATAAATGTTCTTCCAGTAATCGAGAACTACTATGAAATAATAGAATTAATAGTAGGCAATGACATTGCTATAGCTATAGTATAATGATAGTTTCAATCGAGGAGTTTTCTTTAGTCACTCTTTTGTTCTGGAAATGTTTTTAAAATATTAATTATAGATTTTGAAGAAACCATTAACTTTTTCCTATTTATTGTCTATTTATTACACATGAAAGCTTAAATAATCGAGCACTTCTGATTTTATTCTATTAAAAAGTGTAATTTTTATGGTTTCCTTATATTATGATAGATTTTAAACCTAAACTCGGTACGCCACTGTACCAGGGACCATTGTGTTTACTTATGTATCATTTGTTTATCAACATACAATAGGTTGAGGTTACATGTTTACATTGTGTACTGAAATAGGGAATGCGGCCTCCCCTTTACTTATTACTCTGAGGCTTCCAACGATGAAAAATTCACAGTTGGATGTACTGTCTCCAAATGCGGAACAACAAAACTGAGCCCATTCGCTTCGTCGCCATTGACCCGCACTAACTCCTTTCACCTGCACTGTAGGTTGCCTACAATTCATGTATTTGTAATACATGAATATTACAGTGGCGGCGTACACAAAAATTAAAGTGTATTTTAGAAAACCACTTAATTATAACTCGACTATTTATTTTTTGATTAAAAAAGAAAAAGTGGGAAGACCCAGAGACCATAATGGTGGTGATAAGAGAAAAGATGACTGTAATGTTAATTTAACGAAATGTTCAAACTTTTTATTTACAAATATATATACATACTGGAACAATAAATGAGACTTCTTATTCTGTACAAGCGTCTACCAGGCAGCGTGTAGCGACCATGTTTGTGAACCAACTAGCAGACTTTCTTGGAATCCTGGTTCTTTCTGGATCCGTGAAGTTGACGTAGTACATACCCAAGAAAAAACTGCAACAAAACATCAGTGAATTTCCCTTAATACTAAATTAAACCTGGACATTATTAAAGTTAAACTATAAATTTATCCATTCTTTAATGTGTAATTTGTATTTAGTTTTCACATATACACTCACGTGTACCCGTTTTCCCATTCAAAATCATCGATAATACTCCAAGCCGTGTAAGTCGACAAGTTGACTCCGTCTTCGTAGATGGCGTCCAAGCAAGCGCTCAGATAACCCTTCAAGCAGAAACATTAGGAACTGCAGAATAATAAAGGGTAAACAATTACCTGAAAATACGATATTCTGTGGTCATCTTCCATTATTCCAGTATTATCCGAAAGACCGTTTTCTGTGATGACTATTTCAACGTCGCCATAAGTCTTCTTAAGCCACACGAGAAGGTGTCTCAAACCCCACGGAACAACCTGTGCGTTAAAATAACATTTCCCATATCGTTTTTTTGAAAAAGGAGTTATCCAATCATCATACTTACGGAAAAATATTCAGCAGCACCTCTGGGCCACTCTGGTCGCCTCCAAGTCGACACACTGACGTCGTTTCCATAACTTGGATCTCCAATTGGTGAATCCGCTGTAGCGTTGGCCATGTGGGTGAAGTAATGGTTTAAGGCCAGGTAATCATAGGTACCTTTGACATAAGCGATTTCCTCGTCGGTGAAGGGGGGTAGGCGGGAAGAGGTGAATCCTTCCAATTCACTGCGTTGTGCGACTCTGTCTATCACCACCTGTGGCCAGTTTCCGATGAAGATCGGGTTGGCGTATAGACCAAACTAAAATTGTGCAAGAATCGAATTAGATGTTTGCAGAGCCCCGAAACCTGAAACTTTCAAATATCTCGAGAAATAGGCGCCCTACGAAAAAAATATCTATTTCAAAATTTTATTATTCGGCGGGGGAAATGCATTGGCGCTAAAATTAGTCCCTCCCCCCAACCCTTGTAAGTGGGGAGGGGATTAATTTTGAAATCTTTAATAGGAACCCCCATTTTTTATTGCAGATTCGAATTTTAAAGTACATAGGATTTGTCTGAAACATTTTTTTCGATTCATGATAGATGGCGTTGTTATAGACGTAATTCAATTTTTCTCCATTTTTCCTACCGAGAAACTATGTACAGGGTGTCCGCGAAAGGTTGGGAAATTTTGAAGCTGGCCATAATAAGTCGGTTAAGCCAAATATGCCTTATGCAAGCGTTGCTGGGATACAAATACAGGGCGTTCAATGTTTGAATTTTTTTTGTTTCTTAATGATTTTGAAAACTGTCAGTGTGAACAAAAAAATTGTCACTATTATGTTTTTTGGCATGACAAATAAGAATTTGTAACAAATTTTGGCATTGCCTGTATAAGGCTTCAGTTATACTCTATTCCTTTGATAAATATTACCTTTAGAATTATGGACATTGTGCATTGAAAATATGAAAGGACTTCCTCCATTTCATAAAAAAAGATACTCTTGTTCATTTTCGATATCTCCCTTGGTTATCGAGATATTTGCATATACAAATTTGATTTGATGGATACTTTTTTTGTAGTGGTTATTTCTCGAGAAATTTGATAGTTTCATGTTAAAAAAATCACCTGGTATAAAGTAAGAAAAAGATAGACAACGCTGGCAATACATCACCGGCTCTTTCTGTNTATCTAGACTGTGTTATTACGATGCAGAAACATTGTATAATAGACCAGGCGATCTGTCGAAATATCACACTTCTTGGGTGTAAGAGGGGGCAAGCTAATTTTTGCTGAAATACCTTCAGTACAACTTCAGTAGAACTCACATAATAAAGGTGTAGATTCCTAAATCTGGGCGAGGTCCGGAACATTTTCAAAATTGCGAAAATTTTTCAAAAATTTAAAAAAAGTACCTATTTTATCTGATTTTTTTACTTATATCTTGGAACCTATGCATTTTGGAAGAATGAGAAGAGGAAAAAAGTTTTAGAATTGAATTTTGCACAATATACTGTAAGTTAAAAGTGTTTAAATTTATTACCGATGTTGCAAAATAGCAATTGATGAAAAAATGGCAAAATAATCAAATTTTTTTAGGATGATTTTTTAAAAATAATTTAATTGCTCCGAGGGCATTCTAATTTTGGTAAAAAAAAACTAGAGGATAATAAAACAACACACCAAATTTCATTAAAATCGGTTCTATAGTTTCCGCAAAATAATTTTTTGATAAAAATTTTGGAATTATCAAAATGTTGCACAGCTTCAAATAAAGCATCCAGATACTTGAACATTTTTTCACATATGAAAGACCGCTCAATTTTTCAAATGGTTTTTGAAAAATTGAAATCTGTTTAGGACGGCCACAATAAATTTTTACTCTTTTTTTTAATTTTTAAACAATTAGATTACATTTATCAATTTGCAATTTAGTTTTTTTTTTTAATTATAATTTTAAAGTACTATTTTTTCTTAATTTTCTGTATTTAACAAAAAAAAATAATTTCCTATTTCGATCTTTTTTTTAATCCAATGTCTCGCGAGCCAAGGAATTTGAATATAGTAATGCCAACTGTCTAATTTGCACATATTTTGTTATAAACAAAGTTTATTATTTATGCATTAAATATACTGTATATTTTACCCTATGCTATTGCATTTTTTTTTAGAATGAAAAAATTTGTTAACGTATACAGGGTGTATCTAAATAACACCGAAAAAATTCAAGGGGCGATTCTCCGATGAAAATTAATAGGGGTCTTTGGTATAAAATTTTTTGAAAAAACCCTCCCCTGAAAAGTTACGCCCCTCCTAAAATTACAAAAAAAAATTGTTTTTCTTTTTTATCTTCCACGTACATCAAGCTAAAGAAACCAAACTTGGTGAACATTATCTGTCAATAAAACTACACTTTTTGAAATTTTTTCAACCCTGAACTATTTTTGTAAGGGGTTGAAATAATCAACCCCTATGACATTTTTTCTTATAATTTTTTTTTC